AAAATACTTTTTTCCCCTTAAAAGCATGTTACAGAGCTTCACATGTAGACTGAGCCACCTCACTCAGTTTATTCCATTAAAAACAATAAAATATCCCCAATTAAAATTTGGATAAAAACAGTAAAATATCCCCAATTAAAATTTGGATAAAAACAGTAAAATAACCCCAATTAAAATTTGGATAAAAACAAATAAAATACTTTTTCCCCTTAAAAGCATGTTACAGAGCTTCACATGCAGACTGAGCCACCTCACTCTCAGTTTGTTCCAGTAAAAACAATAAAATATCCCCAATTAAAATTTGGATAAAAACAGTAAAATATCCCCAATTAAAATTTGGATAAAAACAAATAAAATACTTTTTCCCCTTAAAAGCATGTTACAGAGCTTCACATGCAGACTGAGCCACCTCACTCTCAGTTTGTTCCAGTAAAAACAATAAAATATCCCCAATTAAAATTTGGATAAAACAATAAAATATCCCCAATTAAAATTTGGATAAAAACAAATAAAATACTTTTTTCCCCTTAAAAGCATGTAACAGAGCTTCACATGCAGGCTGAGCCACCTCACTCTCAGTTTGTTCCAGTAAAAACAATAAAATATCCCCAATTAAAATTTGGATAAAAAACAGTAAAATATCCCCAATTAAAATTTGGATAAAAAACAGTAAAATATCCCCAATTAAAATTTGGATAAAAACAGTAAAATATCCCCAATTAAAATTTGGATAAAAACAAATAAAATACTTTTTTTCCCCTTAAAAGCATGTAACAGAGCTTCACATGCAGACTGAGCCACCTCACTCTCAGTTTGTTCCAGTAAAAACAGTAAAATATCCCCAATTAAAATTTGGATAAAAACAGTAAAATATCCCCAATTAAAATTTGGATAAAAACAGTAAAATATCCCCAATTAAAATTTGGATAAAAACACATAAAATACTTTTTCCCCTTAAAAGCATGTTACTGAGCTTCACATCCAGACTGGGCCACCTCACTCTCAGTTTGTTCCAGTAAAAACAATAAAATATCCCCAATTAAAATTTGGATAAAATCAGTAAAATATCCCCAATTAAAATTTGGATAAAATCAGTAAAATATCCCCAATTAAAATTTGGATAAAAACAAATAAAATAAAAACAGTAAAATATCCCCAATTTTAACAAATAAAATACTTTTTTCCCTTTAAAAGCATGTTACAGAGCTTCACATGCAGGCTGAGCCACCTCACTCTCAGTTTGTTCCAGTAAAAACAATAAAATATCCCCAATTAAAATTTGGATAAAAACAAATAAAATACGTTTTCCCCTAAAAGCATTTTACAGAGCTTCACATGCAGACTGAGCCACCTCACTCTCAGTTTGTTCCAGTAAAAACAAAAAAAATATCCCCAATTAAAATTTGGATAGAAACAGTAGAATATCCCCAATTAAATTTGGATAAAAACAAATAAAATACTTTTTTCCCCTTAAAAGCATGTTACAGAGCTTCACATGTAGACTGAGCCACCTCACTCAGTTTATTCCATTAAAAACAATAAAATATCCCCAATTAAAATTTGGATAAAAACAGTAAAATATCCCCAATTAAAATTTGGATAAAAACAGTAAAATAACCCCAATTAGAATTTGGATAAAAACAAATAAAATACTTTTTCCCCTTAAAAGCATGTTACAGAGCTTCACATGCAGACTGAGCCACCTCACTCTCAGTTTGTTCCAGTAAAAACAATAAAATATCCCCAATTAAAATTTAGTAAAATATCCCCAATTAAATTTGGATAAAAACAAATAAAATACTTTTTTCCCCTTAAAAGCATGTTACAGAGCTTCACATGCAGACTGAGCCACCTCACTCTCAGTTTGTTCCAGTAAAAACAATAAAATATCCCCAATTTTAACAAATAAAATACTTTTTTTCCCTTTAAAAGCATGTTACAGAGCTTCACATGGAGGCTGAGCCACCTCACTCTCAGTTTGTTCCAGAAAAAACAATAAAATATCCCCAATTAAAATTTGGATAAAAACAAATAAAATACGTTTTCCCCTTAAAAGCATGTTACAGAGCTTCACATGCAGACTGAGCCACCTCACTCTCAGTTTGTTCCAGTAAAAACAAAAAAAATATCCCCAATTAAAATTTGGATGAAAACAGTAAAATATCCCAAATTAAATTTGGATAAAAACAAATAAAATACTTTTTTCCCCTTAAAAGCATGTTACAGAGCTTCACATGCAGACTGAGCCACCTCACTCTCAGTTTGTTCCAGTAAAAACAATAAAATATCCCCAATTAAAATTTGGATAAATACTTTTTTCCCCTTAAAAGCATGTTACAGAGCTTCACATGCAGGCTGAGCCACCTCACTCTCAGTTTGTTACAGTAAAAACAATAAAATATCCCCAATTAAAATTGGGATGAAAACAGTAAAATATCTCCAAATGGATAAAAACAAATAAAATACTTTTTGCCCTTAAAAGCATGTTACAGAGCTTCACATGCAGACTGAGCCACCTCACTCTCAGTTTGTTCCAGTAAAATCAATAAAATATCCCCAATTAAAATTTGGATAAAAACTAATAAAATACTTTTTCCCCTTAAAAGCATGTTACAGAGCTTCACATGCAGACTGAGCCACCTCACTCTCAGTTTGTTCCAGTAAAAACAATAAAATATCCCCAATTAAAATTTGGATAAAAACAGTAAAATATCCCCAATTAAAATTTGGATAAAAACAAATAAAATACTTTTTCCCATTAAAGGCATGTTACAGAGCATTACATGCAGACTGAGCCACCTCACTCTCAGTTTGTTCCAGTAAAAACAATAAAATATCCCCAATTAAAATTTGGATAAATACTTTTTTCCCCTTAAAAGCATGTTACAGAGCTTCACATGCAGGCTGAGCCACCTCACTCTCAGTTTGTTCCAGTAAAAACAATAAAATATCCCCAATTAAAATTTGGATAAAAACAAATACAATTAAAAGCATGTTACAGAGCTTCACATGCAGACTGAGCCACCTCGCTCTCAGCTTTCCCCTTAAAAGCATGTTACAGAGCTTCACATGCAGACTGAGCCACCTCTCTCTCAGTTTGTGCCAGGAATAGCAAAAAATATTTTGACTGAGCCATCGCACATCAGTCAAACTGAGCCACCTCACTCTCAGTTTAACGTACCAGTAAGAATGGATACTTGATACGTATGATGGGGGACGTTCCTATACCTAAAAGGGAGGTATAGTATCTGTGAACCCCAAACACAGAGCGCGGCTTAACTTCGTCATACGTATACACAAGTATCCAATGCTAACTGATACATAACGTTGTCATGTTTTTCATGTCAGTCACTGAAAATAATTTTTAAATAATAACAAAAACCTTGATTCCAAGTTGCCTGTGGTAAGAAGTGAAATAATATCAAAAAACCTTGATTCCAAGTTGCCTGTGTTAAGAAGTGAAATAACTTCTCTGTAAAATATATCTAGTTTTGAAATTCTTGATGGTTTTCTTAGGATTGAAGAACATGTGGCATTCCGGTAAACACAGTGTGACAGCAACTCAACTATAAAGTAAAACCAGAAAGATATGAAAATGTAAAAAGTTGAGGTCTGGAGCTGGCATGTCAGTAACTGCTAGTAGTCTGTTGTTATTTATGTATTATTGTCATTTTGTTTATTTCCTTTTGTTTCATATTCTGACATCGAACTCAGACAACTCTTAAACTGAGTTTCACTGTGCGTATTTTGTGCGATTTTTTTTTCTACATTGGCTAGAGGTATAAAGGGAGAGTTGAGATCTCAAAAAAACATGTTTAACCCCGCCACAATTTTGTGCCTGTCCCAAGTCAGGAGCCTCTGGCCTTTGTTACTCTTGTATGATTTTCAATTGTAGTTTCTTGTGTATAATTAGTTTAGTATGATGTCCATTATCACTGAACTAGTATATATGTTTAGGGGCCAGCTGAAGGACGCATTTGGGTGCGGGAGTTTCTAGCTGCATTCAAGACCCATAAGGGGCCTTCAGCTGTTGTCTGCTCTATGGTCGAGTTGTTGTCTCTTTGACACATTCCCCATTTCCATTCTCAATTTTAGTCTTTAATCATTACTTTTTCAAATTATGACTTGGATTGAGAGTTGCCTCATTGGCACTCATACCACATATTCTTATATCTATTTAACAATGACTTGTTCTTAGGTGGAAAGTCATTTTACTATTTATTCGAATTTCAAGATATCTCATATAATAATATATAAGATATGTTATATAATATACAAGATATCTAATATATGATATCTTACTTAATGTATAAGATATCTTATTTAATATATAAGATAGCTTATAATTTTATTTTTATACAATATCTTATATATCAAATGAGACATATATATTATATAAGATATCTCATAAAGTATATAAGATATATTACATACTTTATAAGATATCTTCTGAATTTTATAAGATATCTCATATAGTTTAAAAGATATTTTATAAATTTTATGAGATATCTTAAAAACTATATGAGATATCTTATAAACTATATAAGATATCTTATATAATATGTGAGATATCTTATAAAATTATATGAGATATCTTATATAGTTAATGAGATATCTTATACAGTTTATATTAAAGATATCTTATATAGTTTATATTAAAGATATCTTATATAGTTTATAAGATATCTTATATAGTTTATAAGATATCTTATATAGTTTATAAGATATCTTATATAGTTTATAAGTTATCTTATATAGTTTATAAGATATCTTATATAGTTTATTAGATATCTTATATAGTTAATGAGATATCTTATAGTTTATAAGATATCATTGGCATTCAAGGATAGTTATTCTCATTGGCAACCCTTCCATATATCCTTATTTTTTATATGGTTGAGAGATAAATGTAGTTTCCTGTGTGTATAACCGGTGCATTGAGTTGCACTTTCAGGCTAAAAATAGACTTGATAAATTTCTGGCAGCACATCTATCAAGAATTAGCATATGACAATTTATTCTGTTATAAGTTTCAAGAAAGAAAATAAAAATTTGTCTTATCTTTTATGTTGTTTTTGTTTATTCTAAACATATAAAACATTTTCATAATTCATTTAAATGAGCAAAAATTCTTCAATTCATACAAAGAATGTACCGTTTTAAAGAATACCGTACAAGTTCTTCAAGTCTTTAATTGCATACAAATGTTTGTCACAGACTATTATCTGCCTTGTAAGTGTTCATATGAAAAATACCACATTTAGGTTATACAAATGCTAGTCCAGATAACATCCATGTAGTCTTTGAATTATTTGATTATTGTCTCATTTCTGTTAAGGATTCACTTCTAATACAATTGACCTTGTTCAAAGATGACGTGTTGACAACTCCTCTTCAACCAAATTGCTTGTTCTGAACTTCTCTCAACATACTGAAAAGTAAAAATAAGATTTATTATCCCTAAAGTATGCATGTTTAAGTTTAATCAGCCATTCATATGTAAAGTTTAGTTTAATCAATTTTGAATAATTGGTAAATGATAATAAAAAAGATGTGGAATGATTGCCAATGAGACAAATCTCAACAAGAGACCAAATGGCACAGAAATTAACTACTTTAAGTCACAGAACATGGTCATAGATAAAAGGCTCCAAAATTACCAAAGTAAAATAATTCAAACAAGAAAACTAATGGCCTGATATAAGTACAAAACTAGAGGCTCTAAAGAGCCTGTGTCGCTCACCTTGGTCTATGTTCATACTAAACAAAGGACATACATAATAGATGAGAATAGAATTCATGACAAAATTATGTTTTGGTGATGATGATGTGTTTGTCAATCTTACTTTACTGAACATTCTTGCTGTTTCGATTTTCTCTATCTATAATGAACTTGGCTCAGTAGTTTCAAAGGAAAATATTTTGTAAATAAAATGTTCCGCTGGGCGCAGCTTGATATGACCGCAGAGGTCGAACCCTGAACAGTTGGGGCAAGTATGGACACAACATTCAAGTTTGATACAGCTCTGAATTTGGATTGTGATTAAATATTTGACACAGCATAGGTTTCTGACACAGAATGAATGTGGTCTAAGAACTTACATTTTTTTAATTTACCTAGTATGGTCCAATATCCAAAATCTAAATACATGGTTAGATTCAGCATATCAAAGAACCCCAATAATTCAATTTTTGATGAAATAAAACAAAGTTTAATTTTGGACCCTTTTGACCTCAATATATGAACCAATTTGATAGTGGGGCCCACAAATAAAAAATCTAAATACATGGTTAGATTCAGCATATCAAAGAACCCCATATATTCAATTTTTGTTGAAATCAAACAAAGTTTAATTTTGGACCCCAATTTGGACCAACTTGAAAACTGGGCCCAAAATCAAAAATCTAAATACATGTTTAGATTCAGCATATCAAAGAACCCCATATATTCAATTTTTGTTAAAATCAAACTAAGTTTAATTTTGGACCCTTTGGACCTTAATGTAGACCAATTTGAAAACTGGACCCAAAATTAAAAATCTAAATACATGGTCAGATTTGGCATAACAAATAAATAAATGTGGTCAAAGATTTTACAAATCTAATGCGCCATACTGTGCAATTAAAGATTACTTCTTGAAATTTTTCAATATTTGAAATTTGAAAAAAAAATAATATTTGAAGAATAATTCTTTTTAATTTCTGAAATCTGAAATGAGAAAAAATTGACCCCCACAATTTCTTTTTACCCCCCCCCCCCCTTTTTTCCCCCAAAAATTCTTTCCCTCAAGATATGGTCATAATCTCAATTCAAATTTCCAATGGAATTTGCAACCATAATTACCCATTTAAATTTACCATAGTGCTAACTAATCTATTTTATAATAGAATTTAAAATATGGTGTCAAATCTTTCATATGGATTTTTTTGTAAAAAAAAAAGAGTGGAACATTTGCAGATATTTTTACTGGTCTTCCTTTATAAATATGCATTTCTTTAAACATAATTTAAAAGCAGTGCAAGGGAAGTAATCAAAACGTTGTATGTGGATTACCTCCCTTACACTGTTTTAAATTGTCTTTATTGTTCATTAACCATTACTTTATACATAATTTAAAAGCAGTGTAAGGGAGATAATTCAAATGATGTATTTGATTTATCTCCCTTACACTGCTTTAAATTATGTTTTGTACTCAAGTATTTGTCCATATAAATTTGCTTGTTTTTTGCCCCTTTTTTGGCCCCTAATTCCTAAAATTTTGAGGCAATTACCCCCAAAATCAATCCCAGCATTCCCTTTGTGATATGGAATCTTGTGGTACAATGTCAGAGAGATCCATACACTAACACACAAGTTATGTCTGGAAGTTACAAAAAAGCTTATTGTTGGCCCCTTTTTGGCCCCTAATTCCTTAACTGTTGGTACCATAACCCCCAAAATCAATCCCAACCTTCCTTTTGTGGTATTGAACCTTATGGTAAAATTTCATAGAGATCCATTCACTTAAACTAAAGTTAGAGTGCGAAAACTAATGTGTCTTCGGACGACGACACCGATGACGACGACACCAATGTCATACCAATATACGACCACAAAAATTTTTTTGCGGTCGTATAAAAATTACAAAAATTTACATAATTTACGAAAATTGTTTAAAATTTACTATAAAAAGCAATAACTCCTTATTGACCGTTTTGGTCAAGTTGACTTATTTGTAGATCTTACTTTGCTATACATAATTGCTGTTTACAGTTTATCTTTATCTAAGATAATATTGAAGATAATAACCAAAAACTGCAAAATTTCTTAAAATTACCAATTCAGGGGCAGGAACCCAACAACAGGTTGCCTGATTTGTCTGAAAATTTCAGGGCAGTTAGATCTTGACTTAATGAATGAATGAGATTTGCTCTAAATGCTTTGAATTCAGAGATATTAGCCAAAAATTGCATTTTACCCCTATATACTATTTTTAGCCATGTCGGCCATCTTGGTTTGTGGACAGGGTCATTGGACACATTTTTAAAACTACATACCCTTAAGATGATGATTGCCAAGTTTGGTTAAATTTGTCAAAGTAGTTTCAGAGGAGAAGATTTTTTTTAAAGATTACTAAAATTTTTGAAAAATGGTTAAAAATTGACTATAAAGGGCAATAACTCTTTAAGGGGTCAACTGACAATTTAGGTCATTTGACTTTATTTGTAGATCTTACTTTGCTGAACATTATTGCTGTTTTCAGTTTATCTCTATCTATAATAATATTCAAGATTATAACCAAAAACTGCAGAATTTCCTTAAAATTACTAAATCGGGGGCAGCAACCCAACAACGGGGTGTCCGATTTGTCTAAAAAATTTCCGGGCAGATAGATCTTGACCTGATAAACAATCTTACCCCATGTCAGATTTGCTCTAAATGATTTGGTTTCAGAGATATAAGCCAAAATCTACATTTTACCCCTATGTTCTATTTTTAGCCATGGCGGCCATCTTGGTTAGTTGGCCGGGTCATCGCACACATTTTTTAAACTAGATACCCAAATGATGATTGTGGCCAAGTTTGGTTAAATTTGGCCCAGTAGTTTCAGAGGAGAAGATTTTTGTAAAAGTTTACGGAAGACGGACGACAGACGACGGACGCCAAGTGATGAGAAAAGCTCACTTGGCCCAGGTGAGCTAAAAATAGGCACGTAAACACTGAGATTACTATATAATAATACTATGCTTTGGGGTAGACATCAACCTGAACCATTGATCTTTTGATTCTTAAACCTTCACCCCAGCCACACAAACACACACACAGTCGATGCCTAATGCAGAAGTTCTGTTCTGTTCATACTATCGTAACAATATTCAAGAAATTCATATTTTCTTATATCCTCTACTGTAAAATCCCTACCTGCTTAGGAATTTGAATTAATGTGGTCATTACACACAGATCTGAGATTACTGGAAGATAGTTGATTGATTTATTGCTAAACATCCAGTGGCAAATAGTTTTGCATGATCAGGACAAAAACAAATTTACAATACTAGTAAATACAACAGTTAGCCACTAGGTCCTGTAATAGGGGTCGTCCAGGATGAAGGTCTGAACTTTTGAAAATGCCATTGGAAAATTAGGGTTTATTGATCTTTATTGGATAGGGACAGATATTTTGCCTTTCAGCAGACCCCTCAAAGAGTTGTTGCAAGTGTTATTAGCGTGCAGAGAGCGAGGCGAAAATTTGTTTGGACTATTTTAAGCTTAAGGCCCACAGAGGGTCAAGGGAAACGATTTTCAACTTTTTCGAATAATCTTTTAACTCATTGGGGAAAAATTGGTTAAACAAATCTAAAATTTCTGAACTTTTATGAATAACTTTCAGATCCAGTTTCATACACAAAGCCAATGATACACTTATTCAAAGTCAAGTCAACGTTTTTTTTCTGCCAATAAAATCAGTTATACTCTCATCAACTTCAACATTGAGGTGTGGGTGGGTATGAAGAAGGGATAGATTAGAAAGTCGCTCATCTCCGATCTCAGGTAGGACTTGATGCGTCGCATCTCACTGAAGGATCTTTCACTAGTTGCCGATGAAACGGGCATTGTCAATAAAATCAAAATAATCCTATGCACCGAAGGGCACAGATCGGTGTTTGAATACGGACGGGCACCGTATAAATAATAATACGCATTAGAATAACAATGTGTATTTTTTTTTTTATTCCAAAGGGGTATATTATTGGCAAATTTATGTATAGGCACGTGCCTAGTCGAGCCTTAGGTAGCTACGCCACTGAATGTGGCAGCCAAGCGATGCATTTACTAAAAATGAGTGCAAATGATTGGCATAAAAGACTAACATTGTTAGACATAATGAATAATATACAGAATTCAATATTTCACAAGGAACAACCATGGAATTAAGGAAAACTGGGTAGCAACGTTCAAGTGCAGTGGCGTAGCTACTATTGACGCAACGACGCACTTGCGTGCACAAACAAACAGGCAAAAAAAAAGTTTTGAAAGACTTTTTTTTAAAGAATGATTGAGAAAGAGTGTGAGAGTGAGGGAGTATCGATAAATACAATTTATTCATCGATACTTATAAGAATACCCAAACTTTTCCATATTTTACCATCAGTTACATCAGTTCATATACCATCTTCTAAACGAATTTAAAGACCGATTGACTGGTTAATTCAGAGGAAATGTGGTTTCGCCCACCTTCTAATTCCACAGAATGTTAAAGAGTTAAAACGGGAAGATCAGTTGCCTATATATATCACGCCAATGAGCCTCTCGAGATCCAAAGATATGTTGCTCGTTGAAAGATACCAGATCAACTATATGAAACATTGGAAACGACAAACAAAGAACTGCATTCTAATATATACTGTAGAATTTTTCTTACTATGCCACCAACAACTGCAACTGAAACGGGTTAAAACCTATCTTAGATATACAATGGGACAATAATGGCTATCTTCTCTAAAACCATTGCACATTCATGCTGATTTTGAAATTGATTTGAAAAGAAGTTGTTGACATATTTCATAATATCAAACAAAGAAAAATGTTGCTTGCTTAAATGAAACCAGTAAATTGTTGTTATTTGCAAATCACTTATATGTTAACAAGTTACAAACCAGATGCGTTGACCTCTAGACGTCTTTTATTATTTTTGTGTGTCGTTTGGTTGCTGTCTTATATATACACCACAATTTCGTTAATTCACATTGAAAAAAATTGGAGGATACCGATTTCAAAAATTCGTTTCACATCGCTTCATGATTATGTGCTTTACCCAAGATGAAGTCAGGAAGTCACTCTATCTTTATAATTTTGTCATTTTCGAAATTTGGTGTCAATGACAGATCTTTTATAGTCTCTGCAAATTGTATTCACAACTGTGTTGCTCTGGCCGGTTTAGAGCTTGATATATATGATTTAGACACTTGTCCATTGTTGGAGGACGTTTTTTAATATCGTTTGAAGTTTTTTTTTTTTATCTATGTCGATAAAATGCTGTCTCGCTTGTGTGTAACCATTTCCTTTTATTCCCATTTATCGGAAAACCGTAAACTTGAATAATTGGATTGTTTTGAGTCCGCATGGTTTGTTCTTCAGACTCCTTTTCCTCGTACTAATCAATCTTAAAAATGCATAACTATTGGTTTTATTTGTGCACCTTTTCTGTATTGACTTGTTCGTAATCAGCTGACTGCTTTGGTGTTGTCATAGCGGCCAAAAACCAGCAACGATCGGGCCTATGACTAAGCCAATGTATTATCTATTTCATAATATTATGTTACAGCCTACATATATTACAAAATTGTTTGCATCACTCTTTGAAGGTCGATTGTCTCCGTCGAGTTCTCTAGCATATTCAATAGGCAAATTAGTAGAGCAGCATTATACTGGTTTATAAACAAATTGTCGTCACTGAATCAGTCCAACACTCATGTCCGTTTATCGAGGTATAACTGGACCCTGTCATTACATATAATTCTAAAGAAAATTAGACAGAACAGATAAATTTCCAACAACAAAATTCTTCTTTGTGTTTACTTAATTCTCTGAGCTTCAGGCGGGCTTTGCCCCCTGCCAGAGCTTTGCACACAGAACCTGGCTACGCCACTGAAGTGCCCAGTATATGGTTTAGCAACACCCAGCGGCTATGGGTTTTGTATCCACGTGTGTTAAACAATCAATATCCTAGAAGTATACTGAGCCAGGGATAACTTCTTATATAGATATAGGAAGATGTGGTATGAGTGCCAATGAGACAACTCTCCATCCAAGTTAAAATTTATAAAAATAAACCGTTATAGGACAAGGTACGACCTTCAACACGGAGCATTGGCTCACACCGAACAGCAAGCTATAAAGGGCCCCAAAAAATTACTAGTGTAAAACCATTCAAACGGAAAAACCAACGGTCTAATCTATATTAAAACGAGAAACGAGAAACACGTATGAACTACATAAACAGACGACAACTACTGTAATCAGATTCCTGACTTAGGACAGGTGCAAACATTTGCAGCGGGATTAAACGTTTTAATGGTACCAAACCTTCTCCCTTTTCTGAAACAATAGTATAACATCACAACATAGAAAAACACACTATAAAATATCAATTGGAAGGCTTAACTCAATCAAAAAACATAAATTAACACATAATGAACAAATAAATTTGACCTGTGACACCTGAATGCAAATACACAGTTAATAAAAAATTACAAGGGACAAATAATTAAAGTCAAAAGTAAATAAACAGGTTTAAACAAAGTTAAAGTATGATATCACTGTTATATCTATTTACAGGCTAGTGATACAGTAGTTTCACTACTTGGACCATTCAGCCACCGAGGCCCCATTATGGCAGATCCAGGGGAGGGTTGCTGGGGTTGAAACCTCCCTTTTTTTAACGATCAATGCATTTGAGGTCATATAGTTCTCTTACTTTAGATTGCCTTAACTAAATGGTATGAAAGTTATAATACACAATACTTATTACCACAAAACTCAGTTCAAGTACAAATTTGGGTAGCATCACTTTTACCATTCTTCATGATCAGTTATGTCCCTTTATGCCAATATGTTTTTTCAGTAAAAAACAAATCTATACAGTAGGGTCAAAATATTGAACCTAGAAACTGATGAGTATAATAGTACCAGGTAAAATATGGAATTTGTGAATATTAGTCCAATAGTCCATGTAGAATATGGAAAATGAAGAAAAAAAATTATATCTTGAAGTTACTCCTGAATTTCAAATGGCAAGTGTTCATAAAACATGTAAACCATAATGCCAAAGAAGTATAAGACCTATGTCTTCTTTTTGTTTGTGACAATGCAAACATTCTGTAGCCAATGTCAATGAATTAAGACTGAGATGTAGGGTTAAATAATTTCAACGAAGACAAGAAATGCCAATGCTAATCATTCTTATACAATTTTATACCAAAACTACCATTCATTGACTAAAATTTATAAGCGGTTCCCTCTAAACTGGATAAAGCACAAACTTGAACCTATATTAATTACATTTTTCTGATACTAACTTTTCATAGATTATGAACTATGATGAGGGAACAGTACAATGTAATTTCCATAGAAATGAGATGAGCAAATGCTTATAGCATGTATAGGATTGCATACCAATATATTTAACAGAAAAATTTCGATCTGATCTGGAAATTTGAGTGATAATACAAGAACGCAAATGTTTCTATTTCTATTCAATAACTGGTCGTCTCCTGTGTAACAACTTTTTATATGAAGAATCTGCAGATGGTTTGTTGCAAAGCAAATTTTATTGCCACCACCACCTATCTTTCGTCCATAGCTAGTTCCTCCCCTCTCCAACAATTTTTACAAAATTTTTAGAAGCTACTTAAGTTATTTACATCTATTAACATTTTATATCATCTTGAATATGCATTAAACATTTGCCACATTACAGTAAACAAGCAATGTCTAAGCAGATGCATAGCTGAAGATATGGTATGGGTTTTGCTCATTGTTGAAAGCCATAGTAACATACCATTGCTTAAATCTGCAATATTTGGACTCTCAGGGATAGTTGTCTCATTGGCAATCATAGTACCACATCTTTTTTATTTATGACTATTGATAAAAATCAACCGATCAAGTCTCCTACCTGTAAACTTTGATTAAATCTTCTGTGATGAATGACCTCTCCTTTATATCAATTTCAAAATTCATAACTGCTTCTCCTTATGTCAATCATTGGCTCTCTTCAAATATCCCTTCTATGCATTTAACCATGAAGATTCTTCATTTGATTAATTTACTAATAGAAATTTCCTGCAAAACATAAAAACATGTCAATTAGGATAAATAAATAGGCATATTATTTTTAGAATATTTGTACAAAACTGAGTAGTTTTGGTAGTATAATAAAAATCTGACCCTGCAATATTAATAATCAGTACAAAGAAAGATAACTCCGTTCATTTAATATGACAATATCAACGAGATGGCTCTAGGGAGTGTGTTGGTTTGTGCAAACTTGTCATATAAGGGCAATCACGATTTTGGCAAAATTTGACATATTTGTAGATCTTGTCTTGCTGATCATTTTTGCTATTAAAGTGGCTTTCTATCTATAATAGTTAAATGTAAAATATTATTATTGTTTTTCAGAAAAGGAAAACAAATGATAAAAGTGATCATTAAACAGTCAATAACTCTAATAATGAGTAGTTTTTAATTTCGTTTAAGTTTGTCTTGTTTTGTAGATATTGCCTTGTTGATCATTTATGCAATTTGAAGTTTCTTTAAGCTGTAATGTTTCCAGGGGCGGATCCAGCAATTACATAAGGGGGAGGGGGGTTCCAACCCAGGATAAAAAGGGGGAGGGGGTTTCCAACCATATGTCCCCATTCATTTACATTAAATGTAAAAAAAAAAGGGGGGTCCAATACATAATTACTTTTGATTTTTTTGGCAATAACCGAGATATTCAAATATTGTTTGGCATAAATTCTTATAAAATGATTATTTAGACTTATCTGATTGAACCAATATTTTATAAATATGTGCTTTTGTGTTTCATAATAATCATTCATTTGAACCTTTTATTCTGAAATCATTCATTTTGACCATTCATACAAAATCATTAATGTAATACATTAATTCATATCAGTATATTAGAAGGCATGTGAGGTATTAATTATGGAACACTGACCTTATTTGAAAAAAAATCAAAGATGTCCACCAAATTTGAATAAAATTATATAAGGAACAGCACAGCTCCAATCAGTTCAAAATATAAGTAAAGTCTGACTAAACAAAAGAATTTCCCTCCTAAATAGACACATGACTTAATGAACCAATTATCATAAAGGAGATAGAGTTTTCATAGCACAAACTAGTTAAACCTAGAGAGTAAACTAATACTCAATGGATCAAAATTCACTGAGCCATGAAGAAAGAAGTCTTACAATAAATAAAACCACTGATGCATGACTAGAAACTACTCATTAATTACTTAGAATTAAATTTACTAAAATCTGATGTAAAATATAAAAATATCAAAGTATGATACACAAAACAACAGTATCCAAATGAACATACTACATGTAGTTACCATGGTTACTTGTTTGATTAACATTCAGTGGCAATAACATTTAAATGGAGTACTTCTGAGTTTTCCCCAAAAAAAACCATACATTTTCTTTTGAATATTAAAAAAAATATCTGAAGATTTTGTTTTGGTGATTATTTTGTGAATCTTGTCCTCATGATCATTTCTGCTCTGAATTTTTTTATTGCCCCTGCCGCAGTTGAGGGGACATTAAGTTTAACCCTTGTCTGTCTGTCTGTACGTACGTCCCAAAATTGGTTTCGGTTTTCTAACTTTAGTTTGCCTCAACCAAATGTTATGAAACGTTGAACACAATGCTTATTACCACAAAACACAAGACAAGTTTGAATTTTGGTGGCATCACTTTTACCATTCAAGAGTTATGCCCCTTTACAAATGAAAAAAAATGCAGAATTTTTTGTTACGTTCTTCCACTTCAGTTTGACTCAACCAAATGATATGAAACTTATACACAATGCTCATTACCACAAAACACAAATTGAGTTTGAGTTTTGGTGGCGTCACTTTTACCGTTCAAAAGTTATGTTTTTTTTTCAAATAGAAAAGTTGCTGAATTTTTTGTTTCCAACTTCAGTTTGTCTCAACTAAATGTTATGAAATGTATATACAATGCTTATTACCACAAAACTCAGTTTAATTTCAAATTTTGGTAGCGTCACTTATACAGTTAGTGAGTTATGTCCCTTTATAACGTTATATGCTAGCGGGGACATCATCTGAGTCCCTATGGACACATTCCCCATTTATTTTATCTTTTATAGTTTTTGAATTAAAAGGAAAAACACTAAAATTGGTAAAAATCATCAATTAGGGGCAATTATTCCTTTACAGAGTTAACCAACAGTTATGTCCTTGTCATATTTCTTGTCTTGCTGTGGCCAGGTGAGCTAAAGTAAGGAGTTGTTGTATAATTGCAAATGAGACACTTATACACCAAATACCAAATGATGTAGATGCTAGCTACTTTTGGTCATCATACAATCTTCAACGATGATCCTTAAAGCCATAAAACTCTATAGCAAGCTATAAAAGGCAGTCATGAACCAATTTAAAAAATAAAATAAAATGAGAAAACCTATGTCTGATTTAGGCTAAAACTATAATATTAGAATTACAGCCATTCAATCACAGGCTCCTGACTTTGGACAGGAATTTAAAGAATGTGTTTGGTGGGGGAGGAGGTTTCATAGGACTTAATAATGTTCCCTATGAAATAATGTCTAACAAAAATTTTTTCATAATAAATATAAATACTGTCCATGGACAATATTTACTTATTTAAATGTGTCCAAGCCACAATTTTCCTATGAAAAATGGCCTTAGGTATGAAAAAGTGTCCATGAACATATATCACTGTATATAGCCATATTTAATCATGTTAATACTAAAATTTCTATAATTTTTTTTCATACGATTAAAGTAGAATATAATAGCCATGTTATTACTAAACATATTTTAACCTATTATATATATATATTGCTTACTTTTAATATATTGTTTCTTTGACAGAGAGAAGTGTTGTCTCATTGGCTCTCATACCATCCTTATATTCTTGTTTACATTTTTATACGACCGCAAAACATTTTTTGGGTTCGTATAATGCTATGATGTCGTCGTCTGCATCGTCATCCAAAGACATATTTGGTTTCCGGACAATAACTTGAATTTATGTGAATGGATCTCTATGAAATTTTTTAAGAAGGTTACTACAAAAGGATGGTTGTGATTTATTTTGGGGATGATGGTCCCAACCGCTTAGAAATTAGGGGCCCAAAACAAGCATTTTTCTAGTTTCAGGATACTTACTTGTGTAAAAGTATTTCGATTGGTCTGAAATTATACCACAATGTTTAATGCCGCATTTTGGGGGTTATGGTGCCAACAGATTGGGAACTAAGGGCCAAAAAGGGTAAAAAAAAAAAGCATTTTTGTAGTTTCTGGACAACAACTTGTGTGTAAGTGTATGGATCTCTCTGACATTGTACCACAAGGTTCCAGGGAAGGCTGAGATTGAGTTTGGGGGTAATTACCACAAACATGCAGGAGTTGGGGGCAAACAAAGGACCAAAAACAAGCATTTTTCTAGTTCAATACCACAAAGGGAAGGTTGGGATTGATTTTGGGGGTAATGGTACCAAAGGTTTAGAAATTAAGGGCCCCAAAAGGGTAAAAAACAAGCAATTTTGTAGTTTCCTGACCATAACTTGTGTGTAAGTCTATGGATATCTCTGAAAATGTACCACAAGGTTCCATATCACAATGGGAATACTGGGATTGGTTTTGGGTTATGGTACCAACGGTTTAAAAAAAATTGGGGACCAAAAAGGATAAAAAAAACAAGCAATTTTGTAGTTTCCGGACCATAACTTGTGTGTAAGTGTATGGATCTCTCTGAAATTGTACAACAAGGTTCCATATCACAATGGGAAGACTGGGTATTAGTTTGGGGGTAATTATCCCAAATGTTCAGGAATGAGGGGCCAAAAAAGGGGCTAAAAACAAGCAATTTTGTAGTTTCTGGACAATAACTTGTGTGTAAGTGTATGGATCTCTCTAAAATTGTACTACAAGGTTCCATATCTCAATGTGAAGACTGGGTAAGAGGTTGGGGGTAATTGGCCCAAAAGTTCAGGAATTAGGGGCCAATAAAGGGGCAAAAAAATAGCATTTTTCTTGTTTCCAGATAATAACTTGTGTTTAAGTGTATGGATCTCTCTGAAATTGTACTGTAATGTACCATACCTCTAAGAGAAGGCTGGGATTGAGTTTGGGGGTAATTACTTCAAGGGGGTCAAAATAATTGGGGAGGGGGGGGGGGGTCATAAATTTTATGTATTTTTTTTTTAATTTTCCATTTTTCAATCAATTATATTAGATATATGTAAAAGCAAAAAATATTGATATGACAGAAAAACACACAAGTTATCATATGAAGTATTGTGCAATAGCAAGAAATCTTCCAATTGCATAGAATTGCGCTATAGCACAGTATTGCTCAATAGCAAGAAATCTACAATTGCACAGTATTGATCAATAGCAAGAAATAACCAATTGCAAAGTATTGCACAATAGCAAGAAATCATCAATTGCACAGTATTGCACAATAGCAAGAAATCTTCAATTGCACAATATTGCACAATAGCAAGAAATATCTTATTGCACAGTATTGCGCAATAGCAAGAAATCTTAAATTGCACAGTATTAAGCAATAGCACAGTATTGTGTGTAGTAAGATGTCTCATTTCAGATTTCAGAAATTAAAAAGAAAATGTCTTCAAATATTCAATTCACAACAGCATAGTGTATTGCACAAAAGCAAAACAGAATATAAATTCAAATAACATAACCAATTCTAAGTTCTTTGACTACAGTTATTCTGTGTCAGAAACCTGGTATGTGTCAATTTGACAAATATTTAATTACAATCCAAATTCAGACCTGTATCAAGCGCGAATATTGTGTTCATTTTTGCCCCAACTGTTCAGTGTTGAACCTCTACGGTCGTATCCAGCTGCGCTCAACGAAGCAATTTATTATCCATTTGGGAATGAGGGTCAAAGGGGATATTTTTCCTTTTTTAAGACAAAATTTTTAAATTGTACATATGACTGTTTTTTTTATATATTTTTCAATTTCATCTCAGTTAATTTTAAGCCCCCCCAAGTCAAATCGGAGACTAAAAAACTGGTACT